GAAACATCCATTGTGATAGCGACTGACGCTTCTGTTTATGAAGAGAAGGCTAGCGTAGGAATCATATCATCCTCTCTAGAGTGGGCTTTCTCAATTCCATTACCCGACTTTACACCTTTTACCAAGCTGAACTACTGGCAATAGTCCTATCATTGCGTAAAGTGCCGCAAGATCTATCAGCGGGGATTGTTCTAACAGACTGTCTCTCGGTCTGTACTGCCTTAAGCTCACCAACTTTTTCGCGTACCTTAGAAACGTTCTACTCGCTCATTCCTACACATGTGCGACTCGTCCGACTAGTTTGGGTACCAGGCCATAGAGGTTTAGCTCTGAATGAGCGTGCAGATGCACGAGCGGTATTTTCTCTTGATTGTCCTGTTTTACCTATTTTGCCTACTTCGGAATATATTACAGCAGCACGCTTTCAAAAACGCACAACGACCAATAACTTTGAAAAATCTCCTTTGTTTGCATCAGACTACCCACAGCTAAAGTTCCTTTGGAAGAACAAGTGGTGTTCATCAAGAAAGGAAGAAATAGTGATTACCAGGCTGTGTTGTCGAGTCCCCTCATTGAACTTTTTACCTTCACAGGTCGGGTCTGGCACAGTCGCCTTTGTGCCTTTATTGTGATGAGAGGGAATCTTTGGAGCACTTCTTTTTGTCATGCCGAAAATTCAAAACTCAAAGGAAAAATCTACTAGAAGAACCCCTACGAAAGTTGGGCTTAAACTTGACACTTCCGGTGATTCTTTCATTTGGCGCAGTCGCATTCGGATTCAGCCACAGGAGCGTTTTTACCGCTGTTACAAATTTCTTACGAGAATGCAGAAGAACGGAATGCTAAAAATAAGTACCTTCAGTTCTTTTATGTATAATTTTTTTCTTTTTTGTGTGTTTATTATGTTTTCTTTTCAAGGTTTTTTTTAATGTAAACAATTGACAGAAGTCTGTCTGGTTGGGTATGAAACTGGGAGATGACGTAGGCTCCAACCAAAAGTTTTTAAGAGACCAGACGTTTCGGAACCAACTTGGTTCCTTCTTCAGGGGTGACTGCGTAGGCTACGTAGCAGCAGCGTCTTCAAAGCACTCGAAGGGTGGCTAATGACCTCTCTCTCTCTCTCTCGTTTTGCCGTGGAGTGCAGTCCGTGTGTGTACACTGGGGGAAGGGTTCCGAGAGAGCGGTTGATGTTGTGGGCTGTTGCCTGAATGTGCCACGACTCGAGTAACAACCTTCTCCTACAGTTCGGCTCGCTTTCGAGGATGACCGTCGCTTCGAAATTTATCTTGTGGTCCAATGTCTCCGCATGTTCGGCGACTGCGCTGCGCTCCTTGTAGAACTTCCACACATCGTTGGCGTGTTGCTTCTGTCGTTCCGGTAGGTTTTTCGTCTCACCGATATACGATGCGGGGCACTCGGCGCACGGAATTTTGTAAACGACACCGGGGCTCCTGTCCATTGTTGGCCAGTCTTTCGGGTGGGGGAGGAGGCGGCCAAACGTAAACGAAGGCACGTGCGCGATGCGAACCCCCTTCCTCTTGAAGATCCACGCCAGCGTAGCGTCTCGCTGGTTCCGTGAACGTATGGAACCGGTACGCGTTTCGGGGGGCTGCCAATTAAGGTTGAATGGGGTTTCCTAATCCTCTGTTGCTCTGCGCGGCGGGTGGCGGCTCGAATGAAGTTTTTGGATGAGGTCGGTCGGTTGGTCGGTCGGTCAGTCGGCCGGAGTTTTGTGTCATCAGTTTTGTGCCGGTCGGTCGGTCGGTTGGTCGGTCGGACGGACGGACGGTCGGTCGGTCGGTCGGTCGGAGTTTTGTGTCATCAGTTTTGTGCCGGTCGGTCGGTCGGTCGGTCGGTCGGTTGGTTGGTCGGTCGGTCGGTCGTTCGGTCGGTCGGTTGGTCGGACGGTCGGTCGGTCGGACGGACGGTCGGACGGACGGACGGTCGGTCGGTCGGTCGGAGTTTTGTCTCATCAGTTTTGTGCCGGTCGGTCGGTCGGTCAGTCGGTCGGACAGACGGTCGGACGGACGGACGGTCGGTCGGTCGGTCGGTCGGAGTTTTGTCTCATCAGTTTTGTGCCGGTCGGTCGGTCGGTCGGTCGGTCGGTCGGTGCACTATTCACGAAGTGTCCCCTCATTGCTGTTGCACTAATTCTACATTTCATGGTAAGTGACCTATAAGCAGTTTTTGACCTGCAGGCCCGTAATTCTCTTTTTTTCGCTCACGCTTACGCTGCCACATTTAGCGGCTGGCAGAAATGTGGTTATGGTGGGTTGCGAAAAGTGTTCGCGCACAGGAAATCATTCCTTTTTTTGGTGAAATTTATCGCACCTGTAATGAACTAGACATTTCAAAGTCATTGGTCTCGACTTTTATCAACTACGTGCGCAACTTTTTCTTGTTTTCGCTAATCACCTAAATGAACCTTGTGGCGAAAGAATAGTTACGCAAAATACTGCAATGTGTTTGAGTAATTAAACAAAAGATGTGCTCGTATACTTAACAAATACGTGGTCATGCAAACTGTGCACTGTTTTTGATTTGATCGATATGTGAAATTTAACATCCCAAAATCACCATATGATTATGAGAGACGCCATAGTGGAGGGCTCCGGAAATTCCGACCACCTGGGGTTGTTTAACGTGCACCCAAATCTGAGAACACGGGCCTACAACATTTCCGCCTCCATCGGAAATGCAGCCGCCGCAGCTGGGATGCAATTCCGCGACTGACGGTTCAGCAGCCGAGTACCTTAGCCAGGTGGGGTTCAAACTTTGCACTGTAGAGTGAATTGAGCGCACTCACTCATATATCACTATATATTAGCGGCCTCAAATACGTGGCCCATGACCCGCATGCAGCCCGTGCACCTTTCACTAGCAGCACAAAGCCCGTGAATTTCCGCCTTCGTCCTATATTTTACGTGGGGCACCCGATTCAGCCACCATCTGTGGAAATATCACCGTACCAGAGAAACTGTATCCCAGAATCGCTGTCCAGAAGTTAGTCATGCTGGAGGTCAATAACATTTTTTTCTCAAGCCCTGACGCCAAATTCTTTTCAGAAATAGTGCATATATGAGATTGGTAAGCAATATCTCCTTTCAAATGGCAACGTTTGATGACTCTTCGTTCAAAGTCTTCCCACACCCCAACCCACCAATCTTTTTTTTTATTTTCTTGGCATTAGCACCACTAAATTTTCCTATGGCGACCCGCTGACTAGGGGGACTTCGAGGCGTTTGCTATATATCAAGCTTTTCGTGCGAAAAACATCAGGAACGTACGCTTCGCAGCCGAAGCGGTTGGATTCCGTGCCGACCGGCTGTGCCCTGGCGATCTCCGACGACAGCGCAGCTCTGGCCGACTGGGTTGGTCCTACGCCACCTCTTGCCGCCGGTCCCCTATATACGACGACGACAGTGCAGCTCTGGCCGACTGGATTGGCCCTACGCCATCTCCTGTTGCCGACAGAGCTCTCGCAAGGGGTGCCCCGTCTTCGGACTCCTGTGACTGTGTTCCATCTTTCCTATCTCTCTTATGTCGTCGCTCGCTGTCCTTGCGCATCTCTCTATCTCTTTCTCTCTCCCTTTAATCCTATCCTTATAATCCCTCCTCACCCCCATGCCTTGTGAGCTACTGTTAAGGTGGCGCACGCTGATGCAGACAGTTATGGGGCTCACTTTTCTCTTCTTTTCCCTCTTATAACCACAATCAATCTCGGTTGGCGATGCGGAGCGAGAGGTTGTGGGTTCGACTGCCGGCGACGGAGCTTTTCCTTCTCGTTCTTCCTTTGCCATCTTTTATTTAATGGTGATCTATTATTCAATATATGTGCCACTCTAGGTGAGTGGCACATATTATTATGTGCCGTTCACGTAGAGGTCAAAGAAGAGGAGGACGGGTGCTGCAGTCCCAATCACTCTGTTCGTGTAAATATTGTAAATGCACCAGTCCTTTGTCGTCTCTCCATGAAAATATCTTACAACGTCATATCCGTAACAGACATTTCTCAGTAGATCAGACAGTGCATAAAACACTTTCTTGTTGAAAAATAAAACTGCAAGAAAAACAAGAAAAAAACATTGCACATAGTCAGTCGAATGGCCACAGGCTTTCTCCGAACACTCTTTGGAATTTACAAGGTGTCCATTTTTTTTCAGGCTGATTGTAGAGTATTTATGGCCATGCCATTCCCACAGGGCATTCAATGACACCGCTGTAAGCGGCAAAATATTGATTTCATAGCAGCAGCTTGCCGGTAATTGCTAAGCGTTTTTACATACCATCATCAATACATTTTATGAATCGAAGGGAGAGGGAAAGAGAAAAAAGCCTGGAATATTTGGTGGCTATTTAGTGGTGACAGAGACATACGTCCAGAACTTGCCGAATAGACAGTAGTTATTGGGCTTTATCCTGCCGAAATTGGTGGGGGGGGGGGGGGGATATGCATTTTATTAAAACCAAGTAGATGGATAGGCGCAGGTAGCGGCCCTCTCACTATAGTCCCCTAGCGGTTCACCGTACCTCACTCGCGGTCGCCAGCTTGGCAAAGTACAGGTCGGAAAGTTGCGCCTCCCACGTGTCCACGTGTATCGGTGTGAGAGCACAGGACTGCATTTACTGCTGGAACAAGGAAGAGACATTTGCACTTCAGTGGGCGTGCAATAGCTGACGCTGATGATGACGTTACAGTCGAAGGAGAATGGTCTCTCTCGACAGACGCGCATCAAATGCCGTAGCAAGGGAGAGAATCTCACCAATGACATCACCCGTGTATTGTTTTGGATATACTGCGTGTAGTTTCTGTAAACATTCTTCTACTTCCAAGCATTTTTTTTTCAAGCAATCTTTTTCGTAACAGTTCTTTCTTCATCCTGTATTATTTCGTGACATTTCTATATAGAAACTTGATCCTTTTGCAGTTTATTTTACACCCAACCCCTAAGTCGGGCACATGCCAGGTTATCGAGTGAAAATAATAACAATGATCACTATCATGCTCGACACGCAGAACCTTTATTGATTCGTTGGATACATCGATCGAAGAAGTCAATTGCCTTATATTTCAAAGGCTTCATGCAAGCGGCTAGCATTTAGTAACGAGTACCGTCGCCTTATGGCGTTGGTCTCTTACACGTCCCGTTTTTCGGGTGGTAAAAGCACTCCACTGTCTCCAGATACAGTGCTGAGCAGTTTTCGCCTCTTCGACCAGCGCGGTTGGCCTGCTGGTCCAAGGCGCTGTCCTCTCCCCTATTGTCCACTTCCTCGCGGCAGTCGCTGATCGCTTCAGCTGCTCGACTAGCTTGAGCGGAGTTGGTGCATTGATGAACAGCGTTGTAGTTACCAGTGCAGTGGAAGTACCTGGCGGAGAGCGAGAAAAAAATGCGAAAGATGAAGCCGAGTGAAACCAGCAAGTGTGCACCACAAGTACGAGCAGAGACGGCGGACGGTTTCCGGGATCTTTCACTGTACAAGGTTAACGATATGCACTTCACCGTATGTAAATGCACATCCTTAGTTATACCCCCCCCCAACACACACAGGGGTCTCGTGGCTAAGGTACTCGGCTGCTGACCCGCAGGTCACGAGATCAAATCTCTGCTGCGGCGGCTGCATTTTCAATGGAGGCGAAAATGCTGTAGGCCCGTGTGCTCCGATTTGGGCGCACGTTAAAGAACCCCGGGTGGTCGACATTTCCGGAGCTCTCCTCTACGGCGTCTCTCATAATGATATGGTGGCTTTGGGACGTTGAACCCCACATATCAATCATCATTATGTAATACTACCTCATGCCTACCTTTTACAACAGCCCGAAAGGAAGCTTTATTGACGCACTGGGCGATTGGCCAAAAATATAATCATTCAAAATGAAATTATTATAATACAAAAAAGAAGGCTAGTTTTTTGCTATCAATGTATTTCATCAGAATGGCCATAATAACGCAAAACTAAAAAACTAGAAGCAGAGTGACGCCTTCAGATCAATAATAAATTGTTCATAAATTATGTGCTTTTGAGGCGATGTTCCTGAATGCCTCATGAAAACCTAAAATTGGTCGGCGTCCCGCTTCGGTGTCGTGAACACAAGTGATGCAAACAAAAAACATAGCATAATGACGTCAAAACAATACATAACATCAAGTCACCAGCACACATAATTGCTTGATGAACTGGTGGCCGAGCCCGAATGCCCAGAAAAAGAAGATTTGTGCTCGAAGCTTACTTTTTTTTATTCGTGTACCCTAATGACCTGAGCTGGCATTCCATAGGGGAGTTGCAAAACAGTGAATTGGCTACACCTCCAGTGCACATAATAAATTGATATAACTACAACAGAATAAAGAAAGTAATACATGAATTCGGACTGGTGTCTCAGAGCATATAATTCGTCCGAACAAGAAATATTACGATTAATACAAATACATACAATGCCATACTCCCTTCTCACGTTTTATGTTACAAACTCCCAGCACGTGTCACAACTGCCTTGCACAGCGCAAGAATGCCTGAGGACATTCCAAATAGTTTTCGGATCATCGGATAGGCTTGACCACTCAAACGCGAATCGCCGAGCCACCATTGATGACGCTGGAACTTTCCCTGCCACTCGTATGACTAGAAGCATGTTTATCGACGGCCGACACTGCGTTCGCAATTAGCAGTTTTAATTCTTTGACGCTATAATTTTCATCTCGTTTTTATTTTCTGTTCGATGATTTACCGTCCTTAATATTTCAGCAGATATTTTAATGTTCAGTATTTGTAGTAACACTTCACGTAAGTTTCGGCACCATGAGTATGATCGAGAAAAAGTGGCACGCTAATAAGATTGAAGAATTTATGACACTGTGAAATGGTAATGACAATGTGAACAGTTTATGACAGTATGAACTGCTGCAAGAAAACTGTGCATTGGCGCGATATTTTAACTGATTTCAGTGTGCTATCAGTTTTTTTTATTGTTCATTTTTGGGTACCGTTCAGTATTATTCTTCTTTCTTTACTGCAAAACTATCGTTAAGGAGTACCCGAGGCAATGTGGACCTCAGCCTCTCCACATCAAAACAGTTAGAACAGAACAGAACAGAAGTATAACTTTGGCGAGTTAAACAGCGGCAGAATGGTGCAGAACAACGACAGCAACGAGCTGTATATGGTCACCTTACGCTCTACTTAGATGACGGTTATGAAAACGAGCGAGACGACGTTATAATGAGTGCTCGCAGTACGAAACGTCGACGAGCCTTATTATTTTGTTTGCAAGCCGTGCATTGGTTGCGGGGATAAACAAGCATAACCTGGTATATTAAGCTTTTGTTTACATAACCAAGCGTAGTCGAGTTGAACTATACAGCAATTTGGGGGGGGGGGGGGGGGGACCACATTTACACTTCGCCATATAAGGATGTCCGCTGCTGTAACCTTGTTCCACGGGATCATTAAGGGAAAGCAGGTAACAGCGTGTGGGCACCCATATGCATGCACTATCGGGATTTTGGGGAAGTTGCTACGACGATCCTTCGGCGCTTGTGGTGCTTAGCACCATGTCAGTGAAGTAAATTACAGGGTGGTACCTCGGAGCTCGGATCCTGTAGCTTCAGCCAACGAAACCCAAGCGCTCACATTGTCCGGTTAGTGCGGGCGATGGCAATCGCGTGTCCGCGAAGGATACACCCCAGCAAAACTGGGAGGCGAGAGAGTTGGCACTGTCCGTGTCCTTTCCGCGCGACATTTGCGCCGTAATACACCTCGGTCAAAAACCTTGTCACTTTCATGTCGATTTCTTTGGCCTTTTTTTTTTACTCTTTGTTATTATCAGCTTTACCCACAGTGCTTTTCTGTTGCACGTTCTCCAGCCACTACGGTCACTTCCGAGGGGTTAAAAAGGACGCCAATCAGGTATCAGGTGTCTCCGGTCTTTTGAGCTGTCGAACGACGACTTTCGTGAATGTGAGCAACTCTTTATTGTCGGCTATTTTGGCGAAACTCGCTCCTATCGCGAAGCTCTCGCATGTGAATTCAAGCACCATTCAAGCACCTGTTCGTTATTTTATCGACAATAACCATGAACGTTGTGGCAGATGATACATCGTTGCACCAACCATTTCGGGTTTTTTTTTTCTTCCGTACCGCGTGGGTGCTGCCCAGGAATGCAACATGTGCTTCGACAAATTTTATCCGTTCCATTATCAATCCTGTGACTGCGTTCAGCTCTGTTCTATGCTATCGTATATTTCATTCTAAATTAGTACATTATCTTTTCTACACTACTCTACTGACTGTAAAGTTGAACGAGCTGAAGCAAAAAGAATAGACATGCAGATAAACTTGGGGCGTCAATTCGTATAGAGGTACGTACTTGTCGCAGTTCTTGCAGTTGGCCCAATACATCTTCCAGTAGGCTTCGCCAAGCTTTCCAGCAGCGCAATTGCCTGCTACGGTGTTGAAGACTCCCTTACGTATGGCACAATCATTAACGGCGGTTAAATTGGGAAATAATAAGCGCATAACAAGTGCATGTGTCAGCAAAGGCGCGAATAGTAGCAGCAAGCAAAATAGTGCAGGACCTCTCATCTTGCGTCCCCGTCACTTCAGCGTGGCTCAAGCTGTTCAGACATCCACCCGAGGGTTCCGACAACTTTATATAACGCAGTGTGCGCAATGACTCAAGTTTGCTTTCCGGCGAAAGCTGTTTTTTCCCAAGATTAGACCCTCTCCATAACACGACGCTCGAAATGACATCCGCCTTCGGGCTATCGAGTGTAACTTCTCTTTAAGGAGTAATACGATATTGTTTATTGTGACATACGTATACAACAATTTTTCTTGTCATTGATATTGGGCAAGCATGAGTATACAAGGCTGTTTCCTGACCAGGCCTACATCCCGGCTCGTGACAAAGCAGTGAGGTCAGCGAGGAGAACATTTGAAAGAAAACAGCTCAATTAAAATTCGTAACGATAAGTAAGTGACAAAACACATATACTCCTTCCGAGTAAGTTCCGCAGCAAAAGCAATATGAGACCAAGCAATTTCATTTCAAAAAGGTTATGTTAATAATGACATTGATAAACATTAACCCTTGAAGACGAAAGTGCGCCCGGCAAAACTTCAAGTGAGAATATCAATGTGCATATTATCGCGTCTGAATCGCTGTGATGTAGTTAAGCGAAACATGAGTCGGCGAGAATGGTAGGATACGAGCGCACGAACCCTGCAACGAAAAAAAAAAACGAGAAATACAAAAGAAGACACCGGCAGGGTTAAAAAGTTATCTTACTTTTTTTTCCTAATGTTGTGTAGGTCTGCTCAGCCGTGAGACTTCAACCCCATAAGTAACAGTGTTACATAAGCCAACAGTTTAGTGTGGTCAAGTGCCTGCGTGCCATAGTTTGTCTATGGTCGGATACAAACAAGCGAAGACGTTCGTGTGTTATTCGGAATCTCACGCCTGAGGTTTACGTATTACCGAATGATAAAAAGCGTTGTTTGTTAATACAGTGATCGGTGTATAAGGACTATTATTATAAATTTGTTGTACTCCGAGAACACATTGCATGTAAAACAGAAAAAAAAATGTTGCTACATCTGTCTGGCTTTCTTGTTCAATGCACTTTGGGATAGCACCGATGCGCTAGCGCGTTGACCTCGTTCACGAAGAGAGAAGTATCGATAACTTCATTACTTGACAGGCAGGAGTCTTGCTTGTATTATAATTTGTCTTGTTAGCTTCTAGTCTGGCTAGTGTTTCCATGGATTCAATATATTCCTAAGCTAGCTCAAGTTCGCGCTTCCCGCACTGACTGTACAACACGTACCACACTACCTATACAATAAGAAAGAATGCTAAAAGATGGGAAACTGGTACAGTACAAGCAATGTTCCACAAAGGATGCGTTTTTTGTGTGTGTGTGTGTGTGTGTGTGTGTGTGTGTGTGTGTGTGTGTGTGTGTGTGTGTGTGTGTGTGTGTGTGTGTGTGTGTGTGTGTGTGTGTGTGTGTGTGTGTGTGTGTGTGTGTGTGTGTGTGTGTGTGTGTGTGTGTGTGTGTGTGTGTGTGTGTGTGTGTGTGTGTGTGTGTGTGTGTGTGTGTGTGTGTGTGTGTGTGTGTGTGTGTGTGTGTGTGTGTGTGTGTGTGTGTGTGTGTGTGTGTGTGTGTGTGTGTGTGTGTGTGTGTGTGTGTGTGTGTGTGTGTGTGTGTGTGTGTGTGTGTGTGTGTGTGTGTGTGTGTGTGTGTGGTGTGTGTGTGTGTGTGTGTGTGTGTGTGTGTGTGTGTGTGTGTGTGTGTGGTGTGTGTGTGTGTGTGTGTGTGTGTGTGTGTGTGTGTGTGTGTGTGTGTGTGTGTGTGTGTGTGTGTGTGTGTGTGTGTGTGTGTGTGTGTGTGTGTGTGTGTGTGTGTGTGTGTGTGTGTGTGTGTGTGTGTGTGTGTGTGTGTGTGTGTGTGTGTGTGTGTGTGTGTGTGTGTGTGTGTGTGTGTGTGTGTGTGTGTGTGTGTGTGTGTGTGGGTTTGACAATATGTTCGCACTATCCTGCGCCGACCATGTACCAGTCATACCTGGCACTCAAAACGCACACACGCACCCGGTCAAGTAGCGCCAGATATCTAGCGCTTTGTGACCATTTTATCCCCACGAAGATCGGGGAGATTCTAGCACTGTCGTGACTACGGCTGAAAGTACAGATGCACCTGGTGACACTCAGGGCACGTCAGGCTTCGACTTGGCCGAAATCCACTCTTTACGCTGTTTACACTTATTACCATCGCGACCGTACATTTTCGTATCACAGAAAAGCGTTACAAACTGGACCTGCATAAATTTAATTCCACTAAAGAAACAGACCACCACGTGTGCTTTATTGTAGAATAAAAAAGCACACCGCTACTCACCAATCACATCATCAGTGCTTATAAGCTGTCGTATATAACCTCCGTATTGCATATTCCACATCACGCCTGCGCTTCGCGGTGCCTTTAAATAACCACCTGTATTATTTTTCTATTGTTAACGCGACCATACTGAGTTCAACAAACCATGATAGAATACAACGTATTATATAAAACCGAGCATTAGTCAGATACGTGGTATACAAAGAAGTGCTTTGACTCGTTGATCTAAATGATGCTGGAACATCTTGTAAAACGCAGTGAATGCCGACCCGTGCAAATAAACAAATAGTGTTCGCATAGATTGGGAAACGAAGCAAATCCTTACGGGACTCTTCAATTAAGGCTCATTGATTATGCAACATTGGTGGTCAACATTGCATTTGGCTCCCCCCGCCACGGTGGTCTAGTGGCTAAGGTACTCGGTTGCTAACCTGCAGGTCACGGGATCGAATACCGGCTGCGGCGGCGGCATTTTCGATGTAGTCGGAAATGTTGTAGGCCCGTTTGCTCAGATTTGGGTGCACGTTAAGGAACCCCAGGTGGTCGAAATGTCCGGAGCCCTCCACTATGGCGTCTCTCATATTCATATGGTGGTTTTGGGATGTTAAACCCCCCATATCAATCAATCATTGCGTTTGGCTTATAATTAGTGTCGCAACCTTTCGCCATATAAAAATTTTGCTGGCGCAAAAAATGTCACAGTTCGTGAATGCTTGCCGTGCTTTCTATTGGGCAATTGTCATGCGAGCCAAGTTGCAGGCAAATCCGCCCTTATTTATTTATTTATTTATTTATTTATTTATTTATTTATTTATTTATTTATTTATTTATTTATTTATTGGGGGGCAAGGCCACTTTACCTATTAAGATGGAGGAGAGGGTAGGGAGGTAGAGAATCAACGTGAATATTTGCTGGTACTCCAACAGTGGTGGGGAAAATGTCATGCACTACAATGAACAGTTGTGTAAAACTCAATGAGAATAACTAAGGAACAAAGGCAGTATATATAGTTTTTCAATGCATGATTGCGACCTACAGCTCTTTTTCAGACGAGAAAAAAATTTCAAAAATGGTGACATACAAATGTATAACATGAAACTATGCATTATAAAGACTATGCATTTAAAAAAAACAGTTGTACCAGAAGGCAGAACAAAATTTCAAAAAGCAGCTTCAAAAGCTGCAAAAGCTTCATTATCCATCATACCAAAGTAATGACCCTGATTATACTAACTACGGCATCCGGCAGTCGACTACACTCTGAAAGTGTCTTGTGGGGAAACGAGCTTTTTCAGAAACTATCTCCGCGACTATGTTCTCCAACGTCGAGTTCACGATCTGCTCGTGTGAATATATTTTGACACGGCTGAAAAGCATACTGATTGCACTCTATTCCAGTTTCGCCTTGAAATGTATTGGCAAAATGGTCAAGCTTAAAGTGCGCCTCATTTTAAGGCGATAGTCTCGGGTGTCTCTTTGAGTGGCCCCCTGAACCAAACACGGTAGTGGTATGACGCGTTACAACAACGTACGTCACCTGCGTCACTAATGACGTCATCCTCTAGCGTTTAACTGGCCGTAAAAATTTGTGGCGACGTGGTGGTCCTACTATGTATGTCATTTCGGATGCAGGAAAATATACCACGTTTGATTGCTTTCCATCCATGCGCACGAAGTGACACAAAGGCATTAACGCCCGACGGGGTCCTTCCACTTGACACATCAGTTTGCACACAAACATTGGTGACAAAAACTGAATCGATGATGTATAGTGAAAACATGCAGACAAAAAAGCACACAAACAAGTAAATGGGAATGCACAATACGGGATGTTTAGTGAAATATAAGATAGTAGTTTCCCGGAGCATGTAAAATTGCGATAATTGCGTCACTTTTACATGCACATCATTATGCACAAACAAAAAAGCGATATACGCCAGAATTCGCACAATTGAGTCGCTTTCCTGCGTAACATGGCGGTAAGCACGACAAAAACACTGCAGAGTAGTAGCTGACTAATTGCGAGCCTAGATATTTTTTAAGGATTTGTAGTTCGTTATTTCCTCCTTATTTTGTTGTTGCTCAAGAGTGTCATAACCTGGTAGTGCTAAGTTTGTAAATGCTATTGAGCGCTGACTATGTTAATATGGTAACGAACTCGTCCAAGGGAGTGTGGTATGAGTTTATGAGGGTCTTGTATTGCGAGAGAAAATCCATTAGTATTGAGTAAAGAGCATGTTCCAAGACACCATTGGATGTTTAGGTGTTTATTCTTGTGGCTTTTTTGTCAAACGAATATTGATTTGAAAATTAATTAAACTTTGAATCGTTTAAACGCGAGTACTCCTGAAATTTCCTATCCTTGTGTATACTGGTCATTCAGGGCTGCGTTCATGGTTCCTGCCGGCGTTGTGCTTCTCCAGTCCAACAAAGGATGTAGGTATGATTGCACCAGAACATAATAAATCTGCTTGTTAAATCACAACGGACACAAATTTTGCATTTTGTATTTTATGCCGAATGTACAGAACTAATTACGACATACACGATTCACGTGATCTGCAGGCGTCAGCCTTTCGTTGAAGCTGATGACGCTTGATCTTCGCCTCCAATAGCTGAACGCGATAGCATCATCGGGCCCGTGTGTCTCACCTTCTCCATCGCTAGCGTCATTTTGTTTCTCAGTGCATGCCCCAAACGTGCCGTGAGGAAAAGAAACGACTGTGTGCGTA